TAGGTGTAGTCTTTCTTGTATGTAAGTAGTTTGTGTGATCTACATCTGTCTTAGTGAAGTCTTCTGTATGTAAGTAGTTTGTGTGATCACTATCCTGTTCTTTAGGTGAAGTCTTTCTGTTTGTAAAGTAGTTTGTGTGATCACATCCTGTTCTTTAGGTGAAGTCTTTCTGTTTGTAAAGTAGTTTGTGTGATCACATCCTGTTCTTTAGGTGAAGTCTTTCTGTTTGTAAAGTAGTTTGTGTGATCACATCCTGTTCTTTAGGTGAAGTCTTTCTGTATGTAAAGTAGTTTGTGTGTCTGTGTGATCACATCCTGTTCTTTAGGTGAAGTCTTTCTGTATGTAAAGTAGTTTGTGTGTCTGTGTGATCACATCCTGTTCTTCAGGTGAAATCTTTCTGTATGTAAAGTAACTTGTACGATCACATCCCGTTCTTTAGGTGAAGTCTTCCTCTATGTAAAGTAGTTTGTGTGATCACATCCTGTTCTTTAGGTGAAGATCTACAGCTCAGTGATTCTGGAAGTGACAGCGACAGCTGAACAAGAGTGATGCTTTACAAACCGATACGATGGAAGACAAAGTACTGATGTTGAACTTCAATATTTACTATTTTCATGTGTTGTTTTACTTGAGTTATCTGTGATATAATTGTGATTTCTTACAGATGATTTTTCCACATGATGAACGTGTTGCAGGTTTTAAATTTTAACTGAATTGATTTTTTTTAACCATGAATTCTACTGTCTTAAAACTACAAGATATTTTGTAGTATGTGAAGTTGATGGGAAAACGTTTTATGTGATTAGCGAATACGTTATATTAGGATTTAATTTTTACGAGTAGATCAAATGTAAATTAAAGAAATAATTTTGAGAAAAATTCGAGATAAACAGTTAATTAGTTTAATTTGTCTGCACTTTTGATAAATCAACATTAAACAATAGCTGTGAGAATAAATGAAATTGTTAACATAGTAATAAGGGAAGAAGTTTCCTTTTTTGTGGTTATACATTTAGAAGTTTTTTTGGTTGTTTAATTAATGTTAGATGACAGATTTATTCTAGTGTCAGTGTAAATATTCAACTTGTTTACAAAGTTTGTTATCACAGGTTAAAAACATAAACCTGATTACGTTTTTTCTATATCTCGGACTTAAGTAATTTTACCTTTACTATGCTTTGCTTTGATTTAGAAACTACATAGCATTTTCAGTATTCTTTGTGCAGTTTTAAAGATGAGGAGGGTTTAATTGTGGTTAGCATAAGCGGTATTTCAAAAACCTTGATATTGCTATTAATGATAATTACACTGTTTTTGGATAATAGTGTCTCTCAGTAAAGAAATGATTATACAAATCCAGAAAAAATCTAATTCTTGAGGTTTTTAGCTCAAAAATTATTAGCTTTCACTCTCAAAGACATTAAATGCTCGGAAATGTGAATCCTGGTATATTTTTGGATCTTATTTTCTTAAGTTCGTAGTAATATTCTGTAAATGAAAAGCAATTATACAGTGTACCTTTTACTATGAAACGTTTATTCTTATTGTTAAATATATGCCATTAAATTTTGAACAAGCACTTTGAACTCCTGTCACCAGGTGTCTCCCCTAACTGAACATTTTCTGAGTTTTAAACCCTTAATGGCTACAATTTGACTGTTGTGAATAGATCAAAATTAACTTTAATGTGGTTAGTAGGTTAGTTTGGCGTGCAACGATGTTTGCGGGACATTATTATTTTTAGGTAGCCTTGTAATGTTTTCTGTATTTCTGAAATTACAAGTGAAATAGAACTGAGAAACATTCTATTTTATGATAAGAAAACAATGCATATATATATATTAATTATCCACTAAAATAATGATCTAAAAACTTTTGGAGAATTTTTATTTGTCTCTTAAAAAAATCTAATTTATACTGTACCTAATAATGGTTGGAGACAGCTTGAATGGATAATGAAGAAAAACTTTAATATAAGTTTAACATTACAGCAAATGTACAATGTTTTGACAAGATTTTGGGTACCCGATGATGACAAAACCTTGTCGAAATGTTGTACATTTGCTGTTATGTTAAACTTATATT